CTTTTACCTTTTCATTTCTTCCATTTGCTTTAGCTATTCTCCGCTCAAGGGCAAGGTGCAGAGTCTCTTCTGTCATCCACTTTGGTCTTCTCTTCTTTTTACTGATCTCTTGCTTTCTTCATGGATAATGTTCTTGAATTTAGAGATCATCTAAAGAATAGATTTGATGCACTGAACACTTCAAATGGGCAGATGAGAAATGCTAGGATGTACTTCAGTGAGTGGAACAGGAGAGAAAAGGGTTGTGACAGGACATGGCCTTACATTGCATACTGCTTTGATTCATGAGGCCCAGACCAATAGTTTTGTGACGTGAGTAACCTTTGCCAGAAAGCTGTCCAGGTTATGAGGAGCCTTAGATGATGCTCAAATTCCATGACCATCCACATTTTATAGACGAGGCCATGGAGCCCTGATGACGCAGTGGTTAAGCGCTCAGTTGCTAATGAAAGGGCGTTGGTTTGACCCCACCAGCCACTAAAATTACAGCCTTAAAAACCGTATGGTGCGGTTCGACCCTATAAGGTTAGCATGAGTAGGAACTGACAGCAATGGGTGTTTGCTTTGGTTTAAGCTGAAGAGGAAAGCTCTGAGGAAGTCACCGAAGGGTAAGCAAACTGCAGGTTCCTAGAGCGACTATATGGAAAATTTTTGGTAGCCTGGAGTGTTTCCGTCAACCTGCCCGCAAGCGATTAAGGGTGCCATGGACAAGGACCAAACAGTAAACAAGTAACAAGTAACCGTCTCCCCAACTCCGTCCCCCAGCCCGGTTTAGCCGCTTGCGTACTTATTACGCATGCGTCACCTTTCCCTTTCAGGACTGACTACGGGTCTTTGCTGGGACGGAAGTTCTGAGGGGGAGGGGCCAAGCTGTTTCCAAGGTGACAGAGCCGCAGTCTCTGTGGTAGATTGAGCGGGTCTGAGCGAGTTCCCATAGGGCTGCTGGTGGATGGCTTGTCGGCGCTGTCATGGCGGGGTTGCTAAAGAAGGTGAGGCGAATGGAGGTCACTGGTGGAATTTGGGCTCTGGGGTTTGAGTCTGCCGGATAGCCCCTCTTCCAGCGCGTGGGGGGTGTAACTGGCGCGGCCTCAGCGGAGCTCCTCGGGCCCCGTTCTGCACTGCCCTCAGGGGTGACCGCCCAGTTTAGTGGCTCCGCTCCGAGAGGCAGATAAACGCTCCCAGTGAGCGAGATTGAGAGACCGGTAGCTGACTATGGGCCAGTTTTAACTTTTCCTTAGAGTGGGCCATGCGTGGAAACCTTCGTAATAACATGAATCGTGTTTTGTTTTTGAACAGACCACTGGCCTTGTGGGATTGGCTGTATGTGACAGTCCACACGAGGTATGTACTCCTTTTCTTCACTCCTGAGCTCCCAAGGAAGGCTGGAACCTAGGAACCCTCATTAGATTTCACTACGCGATGCGGATGTTTGAAGCACAGGGGCAGGTCTTGAGACAAGAGTAGAACCCACGCCGTTGATACTAGCCACTTTTCTTGCATGGCCTTTCAGAAGCCACTTTGCTTGCCGATTTTTTCCGTGGCGTTCTCATGGCTTCACTGGTCCTTCCTGAGCGACCTCCCGAGCTGACCTGTTGGGCATCTCTCCTCCGCCTCCCCATTTCTGCCCAGGTGCCCCCGATGCCAGACGCTTTCGCCCTAGCTGTGGCTCCAGGATATGCCCCCTCGTCCCGCATCACCAATTTGCTCTGTTAGTAGGTTTTTCCCGTCTAGATTCAGAAATACTTTCCATCGTAAGAAACAAAAAGCCTTCCCTTGATTCTTCTCCGCCCCCCAGTACCACACTGTTGGCTCTCCTTCCTTTTATAGATTACTCAAAAGAGTTAGCTACTTCCTCTCTCCAGTTTCTCTTTTATTCTCCCTTGAACACACTCCAGTTAGGCTTGGCCAAGGTCCCAGTGACTTCTGTGTGGCTAATCCTGTGGTCACTTCTCATTTCTCATCTATATTGACCCAGTAGCTGCATTTGACACTTTCTCCATCAAGGACTTTTTTAAAAGTGGGCTTCAGGACACTCTACTTCTGTAGTGATACTGCCTTGGCAACCCAAGGAGGGGTCTGACTCGATGGCGCATAACAACCACAACAACATACTCTTTCAACATCTCCTTTCTGTTATTACTCCTATTCTCACTTCTAAATTTTTGAATGCTCAGGACTTAGTTGTTGGATCTTTCTTTAAGTAGATTTGCTCTCTTTCGGTGACTAGACTCAATTTAATAATTCTACATACCATCTAGGAGCTCTGGTAGCATAGTGCCTAAGGCACTTGACTCCTAATCAGAAGGCTGGTGGTTCAGACCCACCAGTCACTCCTTGGAAGTAAAGTTGGACAATCAACTTCCTTAGTGATACTGCCTTGGAAACCCAAGGAGGGGTCGCTATGAGTGGGTCCGACTGGATGGCATGTAACAACAACAACATGCCATCTATACACTGATGACTCTTATATTTCCATTTCAAACACTGACCTTTCCTTTTATGAAAGGCTTGTATAGTTAACTGCTTCTTGTTGTTGTTACCCCTCCTTGGGTTTCCGAGGCAGTAAATGCTTTTACAGTATTTGCTTTTACTACCTACTGCTGTATGAGTCGGGACCGACTCAATGGCAATGAGTTTGTTTTTTTGTCTTTGTACTAAACTTGGAGGTTGCTGTCCATTAATACATGTTGCACAATTACATACTTTGTTCTCTTGCTACTTTTCTCAATTGAGTCTTCATTCCTATGGTACCAGCTCCATCATAATCACAACCATTAGCACTGAAATATGAGCATATGCAGTTCAAATTTGATCATTAAATAATCCAGGCTATGCTTATATATGTTTTTATTTCCACAGAAATTCATATAAGAAAAGTTGGGGGGAAAAAACACAGAATTTCAAGTGCCCAGTACCTCATTTGAGAAACACTGGTTTAGTAAATGATTTGATTTTACAAAAAGGTCATTAGTAACAATTTGGAATGCAGTTCTTTTACTACTTGTTATCATACTTTTGACTTATGTACAACTTCTGTAAGGTTTATAAAGAGTTTCCACATTTATACTCACATTTTCACTAAGTTGTAAAGGATGGGGGAGAGGTACAGAAATGAAGAGAGTGCAGCAAGAAAGAGTTAAATGCTTTTTGTAAAAACACATGAGTCATGGTTTTTTGCTATTGAATATTTGGTGATTAACCTATGGAAATTTTTCTGATTTGCCTTTTCAGAGACTAAGAATATTATACACAAAGATCCTTGACATTATTGAGCAAATCCCTAAAAATGCTGCATATAGAAAGTATACAGAAGAGATTACAAATGAGAAGCTGAATATGGTTAATGCAGTAAGTAGCTAACTTGCTTTTGTTCTCTTGAGTTTATGGTACTCAAGGCAATGTTGAACAGAAGAAGTTTTGATTGTTTTGTTATTGTACATTCTACACTTTGCCTCATATTTCTATTCTCCTCCCTTCCATGCTACTTCTATCCTTTTTCATTCAGCCAGTTCCTGTTTATTCAGTGCCTTCTTTATTCAGGGCCTTATTAAATACTGGAGTACAGAATAAGGTCAGGTCCTTGCCCTGAGGTAACAACATCCTGGCTGTTGCTCTTAAGTCTTTTCCTTATCAATTCCTCTCTCCTTTTGCTTCTTATCTATAGATACATCAGTCTTTAATCTCTGTTCTCTAGAATAAGGGAAAATTAAAAACTCTGTTGTATTTAAAGAAAACAGAAATAACTATTTTAGGAAGTGGGTCATCACAGAAAGAAGTGAAACAAGCTAGTTTGTCTTAACTACCAATAATTATAATTACATAGAGCATTTCACAGCTCTTAAAGACTTTACAAAGGAACACAGAATACTCTTGCTGATCAAACTATATCGAGCTGTCATTAAAATTTCACACTAGCTATCTTTTTAGGATTTTATGTAATTATCTAAAGTATTTATAAACTGTAGAAATAATTTACATACATGCATAATAATACATGCATTATTTCTATATTAACAAATGTTACAGCTGAAAGAATTAGTCTTCTCAGGTATATAGTAAAACAATGGAATCTGATTTGGAACGTTCATTCTTAGCCTGGCAATTCTGGAAGTTATTTCCAGATTAAAGTCTCTATAGGGGAAGTTCATATTTCCTTTCATTTTATGTTTTCCTTAAGAAAAATGAGTTACATATTTTTTTCCCATTACAGAGTAAGAAATTTTTCATTTCATGAAGTGAATCTCTTCAGTGCTGCTCTTTTTAAAAATTTTATTTATTTTGCTGCTGTTGAGAATATGCACAGCAAAACTTTCACCAATTTAGCAGCTTCTTTATGTATAGTTTGGTGACGTTGATTGTATCCTTTGTGCTGTGCAGATATTCTCACTTTCCTTTTCTGAGTTGTTCCTGCATTAATATAAACTCACTGCCTCCTAAGGTTCCTATGTAGTCTTTGGGATTGCTGTTGTCAATTTGATCTCAGATAGATAGATTGATCTTAAAAGAGCATAATGCTCAAGGCAGACACTCTGGTGCTGCAGTGCCTAAGGCACTTGACTGCTAACCAGAAGGCTGGCGGTTCAAACCCACCAGCTGCTCCTTGGAAGGAAGGTTGGGCAATCTACTCCTTTAGTGATACCGCCTTGGAAACCCAAGGAGGGATTGCTATGAGTCGGGTCTGACTCAATGGCACATAACAACAAGTTATGCTACTATTGTTTGATTGAAAGAAAACTTCAGGGGATATTTTTGATTTAACTTTTAAGATTATCTCAAGGCAATAGTTTCAGGGGTTCGTTAATGTTACTTTTCTTTACCTGCCTTCATTCTCAGTGACCTGTTGCCCTTTAATCATTTGTACTCTTTGCTTTCTTTTTAGCCTCTCCCATCTTATTTGTATCTTTGTTATAGCCCAAAACATATCTATCTTTGTTCTTATCTTTTAAAAAAGGAAAAAATAAAGAGTGTATCCCTACATTCTCCTTAATGCCTTTTTCTCTCTTTTCTTTCATAGCAAATAATAACCGTTATCATTACTTCTTAGGAGCTCTGGTAGCATAGTGCCTAAGGCACTTGACTGCTAACCAGAAGGCTGGCGGTTCAAACCCACCAGCCACTCCTCGGAAGGAAGATGGGGCAATCTACTTCCACTGTGATACTGCCTTGGAAACCCAAGGAGGGATCACTGTGAGTCGGGTCCGACTTGACGGTTCATAACAACAACAACAACAACATCCTCATTACTTCTTACTAGTTGTAAAATCCTTATCTGTGATCTGGGCTATTTTAGTACCCTTATAACTAGTTGGAAGAAGCCCTGATAGTACAGTGGTTAAGATGAAGTATACTGGGATTGCAAATACACCAACTAATTTTAAAACCAAACTCATTGCCATCGAGTCAATTCCGACTCAGTGACCCTGTAGGAGAGAGTAGGGTTTTTAAGGCTATAAATCTTTACAGAAGCCAACTGCCACATTTTTTTCCCATGAATGGCTGGTGAGTTTGAACCACTGACCTTTCTGTTACCAGATGAGTGCTTTACCATTGCACTATTAGGGCTCCTTTAGGCCGTACCAAGAAGGTGGTGATATGTAAGCAAAGCCTGGAAGGAAGTGAAAGAAGAAGCCAGGTAGATACCCTGAGTCAGGAACATGTAAGAAAGTGTTCTTCCTTTTATCATTCCATTTATATACCAGGACAACCACTGTGGTAATGACAGTGCCTTATTTACATACATGCATGTATATGTATGTAAAAAAAAAACCTCAGTCTACTAGAAAATAAATAGTATCATTAAGTGTGCTCGGTATTTTTTCAAAACTTTATTGAAGCATAACTTATCTAAAGAAATATGAAGAAATCATAAATAGAGCTTTATGAACTTGCATGCTAAGACACTTGCTGAGCCCCAAACTTCTCTTATTCTTTTCCAAGTCACTGCCCATCTAAGGTAACTGCTCTTGTAGCTTCTAACACTTAAACTCACTGCCATGGAGCAACCCCTCCTTGGGTTTCCAAGGCAGTATCTCTACGGAAGTAGATTGCCCAGTCTTCCTTCTGTTCTAACACTTAGACTTGTTTTACCTGTTTTCATACTTTATGTACTCTTTTGTGCTTTTTTTACCTGCTTAATATCACATTTGAGAATCTTCTGTGTTGTTGCATGTAGTTGTAGTCTCATCATTGTATAGTATTTTATTGTATCCAAAAAAAACCAAAAACTCACTGCCTTTGAGTCATTTCAACACATAGCAACCCCTCCTTGGGTTTCCGAGGCAGTATCTCTACAGAAGTAGATTGCCCAGTCTTCCTTCCCAGGGGTGGGTTTGAACTGCCAGCATTATGGTTAGCAGTCAAATGCCTTAGGCACTATGCCACCAGAGCTCCCATCGTATCCATATACCATGATTTATTGACTCATTCTGTTTTATGTGGTCATTTGAGTTGTTTGTAGTTTGTGCTTATGATGATTTGTGCTGCTGTGAACATTCTTGCATATGTCATTTGCTTAACTTACATATTTCTGGTTTACAGTTAGTGCAATTTTTAGGTCATAGGGGAGCGTTTATTTTCAGTACTAATGCTCTCAGAGGAATTGTATACAATACAGTTGACCATCGAATAACTTGGGTTTGACCTGCATGAGCTCACTTAAACGTGGATTTTTTTCACAACAGAGTCAGTCAAGGAAATCATGAGAGATTGTAGATATGCCAAAAAAGTGGGGGGTGGAGGGTTTCAAGATACGGATCTTAGAGAAATTCTAGAGCTAATAGGCACCACATCAGGGGAATGAATAGAGGTGACTTGATGGAGATGAGTACGTCCAAACCAGTGCTAGATGATGAGGAAGAAGATGTAGAAGTGCCAGAAGACAAATTGACATTAGATACCTGGCAGAAGGGTTCTGATTATTTAAGACTTCTTTTATGACATGGACTCTTCTATGATACGGGCACTGAAACTAAAGCAAATGGTGGAAGAAGGATTGGTACCACACATTTTTAGAAAAATAAAAGAGTCAGACAAACTATGCTGCATTTCCGTAAAGTTACACCAATGTGCCTGCCTCTCCTGCTTCCCCTTCCACCTCCTCCACCTGTTCCGCCTCTGCCACCCCTAAGACATCATGACCAATTCCTCTTCCTCCTCAGCCTACTCAGTGTGAAGACTGAGGAAATGAAGACCTTTATGATAATCCACTTCCACTTAATGAATAGTAAATACTCATCATGCCATATAGTTAATAAACTTACCGTTGTGCATGTGTATGTGTCTTCATGTGAAAATCTAATCACTATATGGCAAGAACTGTGTTAATCGACTATGTTATCATTAAGGCTCTGGTTAGCAGTAGGCTATTAGTTAAGTTTTAGGGGAGTCAAGCAGCAGCAGACAGGGCTGATGGCTGGAACAGGTGAGGCAGGGTGGGGGGACAGCTCCCAGGCAGCAGGGAGCAGCGGCAGATGGGCAAGCAGCGGTAGACAGGGCCAGCAGCTGGAACAGGTAAGGCAGGCGGGGGAGAGCCCTGGGCAACAGGGAGCAGCGACAGACAGGGCCGACAGGAACAGGTAGGGGGTAGCCCAGGAAGTGAGTGGAGTGGTTGGAACAGCTAAGGGAGATGAACTCATCTGTTGGTTTGTCATAATGTGGTGGCTGCATGTTGCTGTGAGGCTAGAGGCTATGCCAGTGGGGGTGCCCATGGTGGACTGGTTTAGGTGGAGCTTCCAGACTGAAACAGGCTTGAAAGAAGGAAGAGGCCATCCACTTCTCAAAGAATTGGCCAGTGAAAACCTTAGGAATAGTAGTGAAACACTGATATATTATTGGAAAATTTTATGAATAGCCCTGAAACATTGTCCAATGCAGTGCCAGAAGATGAGCCCCTCAGGTCGGAAGGCACTCGAAATATGACTGGGAAAGTACTGCGTCATCAGAATAGAGCCTACCTTAATGACATGGATAAAGTAGAGCTTTTGGGGCTTCCATTTACTGAAGTGGCACGACTCAATATGAGAAGAAATAGTTGCAAACATCCATTGATAATCGGAACATGGAATGTATGAAGTATGAATTGAGGAAAATGAGAAGTTGTCAAAAATGAAATGGAATACAAAGATTGATATCCTAGGCATTAGTGAGCTGAAATGGACAGGTTTTGGCCATTTTGAATCAGATAACCATGATTTACTATGTCGGGAATGACAAATTGAAGAGGAATGGCGTGGCATTCATCGTCACAAAGAGTGTTCCAAGATCTATGCTGAAGTACAGTTTTCTCAGTGATAGGATAATATCCATATGCCTACAAGGAAAGCCAGTTAATACTACTGCTATTCAAATTTACGTACCAACCACCAAAGCCAAGGATGAGGAAATTGATATTTACCAACTTGTACAGTCTGAAATTGACCAAACATGCAATCAGGATGTGCTAATTATTACTGGTGACTGGAATGCAAAAGTTGGAAACAAAGAAGAATGACCGGTAGTTGAAAAATTTCGCCTTGGAGATAGAAATAAATGCTGGAGATCGCATGATAGAATTTTGCAAGACCAACTACTTATTCATTACAAATACCTTTTTTCAACAACACAAACAGCGGTTATACACGTGGACTTCACCAGATGGAGTACACAGGCATCAGACTGACTACATCTGTGGCAAGAGGTGATGGAGAAGCTCACTATCTTCAGCCAAAATAAGACTAGGAGCTGATTGTGGAACAGACGATCAACTGCTCATTTGCATGTTCAAACGAGATGGATTGACACAGGGGCGTAATGATGGGCTTAGGTACAGCAGAGATCATGGGGCTGGCACAGGACAGGCAGCGTTTTGTTCTGCTGTACATGAGGTTGGTATGAGTTGGAGATGACTTGACGGCACCTGACAACAACAACAGGGGAGTCAAAAGTTATATGTGAATTTTCGACTGCACAGGGCATCAGCGTCCCTAACCCTCTTGTTGTTCAAGGGTCAACTGTACAAAGAAAAATGAAGTGCTATATAGAGATTATTTTTAAAATCTGTATTTTGGAAAGGCTGAATTAGGCGTCCTATTTCTTACCCTTTGTAAGCATGTCAGTATTAAAAGTTGTTTTAATTTTAAGATAAAAAGCAATAAAATAATGGAGAAATGAAATGGAATTGCACCACATATTTGGAGCGAACCAAATGATATTAATGATATTGATGAAAGAAAAATTACTTGTTTCAAGTGGTTTTTTAGTATGAATTTTTAAAATATGAAATTTGAACCATTGAGACATTGTGCTCCTTTGTTTAAAATTTTTTCTTTTATTTCCTGAAATTATAGGAACCAGATATTAAAAAATTAGAAGACCAACTTCAGGGTGGACAAATTGAAGAAGTAATTTTTCAGGTAAAGGAAAGAGTTGAATATATTAATACTTGGTTTCAAATGTTCATTTTATATAGAGGCATAAAACTGTTATTCCAAAAAGAAAGGGAAACTAAATTTCTTTATAGCAGCTCATCAAGTATAAGACTAACCACCTAAAGAAAAGTCTATACTTTCAGCATGCGTACTGTATTAGTTAACTATTTGGTTATCATTGATCATAGTCTGAATTTATGAGCCTTCTGTAGGAAGTTTGGAATTTGATACTCTTTGAGTTTAATTACCATGTTCTTGTTAGCCTTACCTTAGGTTCAAATTAGTAGCACAATATTAGTTTTGTTCTAATAATTTTATAGGTACAAATGATTATTTTCATTTTTAAAAGTGATATATTTCTAATACTGAAAAATGCAGATGCCTTGAGTTATAAACTTTAAATGTACCTTTAGTTTTGGTTGTTGGAGCTTTTAACTAAGTTAACATTTATTGAGGAAAGAAAAAACTTACAATTGCAAAGTAAATTTGAGAGCTTAATTTTTATTTCCCAAGTAATGGCAAATAATGATATTAAATGATAAAATTCAAGCATGATTATGAATGGAACACTGATTGGAAAAATTTTGAATATTACATGTAGAATATTTAAATCTTAAAAGTACTCTATTTGGAAATCTTTTTCTTTCCCTTCTTGCTATAGCCACTACATAAACCAAACTAAAACCAGATGCACTGGCATGGAGTTGGATCCAACTCATAGCGACCCTTCCTTTGGTTTCTGAGGTGGTATCACTATGGAAGTTGAGGAGGGGCTGGTGGGTGTGAACCACCAGTGTTCTGTTTAGCAGTCAAATGCCTTAAGCACTATGCCACCAGAGAGAGAAAAAAAGATTTTAATGATACTTAACTTGCATATTTATTCTTTCTTCTTGGTCTTAGATAAAAAACCAAACTCACTGCCCGTTGAGTTGGTCTCAACTCATAGTAACCCTTCCTTGGATTTCCAAGGTGGTATCTCTACGGAGGTATATTGCTCAGCCTTCCTGGCTAGGAGTGGCTGGTGAGTTTGAACCGCCACCCTTCTGATTAGCAGTCAAAAGCGTTAGGCACTATGCCTCCAGAGCTCTTTGGTCTTAGATGTTGTTGTTGTTATGTGCTATCAAGTCAGCCCGACTCATAGCGACCCCTCCTTGGGTTTCTGAGGCATTATCACTATGGAAGTAGATTGCCCCATCTTCCTTCCGAGGAGTTGCTGGTGGATTTGAACCACTGGCCCTCTGATTAGCAGTCCAGTGCCTAGGTACTATGCTACCAGAGCTCCCTTGGTCTTAGATAGGCTACAGAAATTGATAGCCTAGAAAAATACTGTTTTGAATATTTAACAATTGATCTTTGTAATCATCTTAGTATTTTTGTCAATATATTGTTTTATGCTAGTTAGCATAATTTATATTTTTATTAGTGGTTTAAAGTAGTCATGATTAAAATTTTCCTTTGCATTAGATTTAGATGGTTATAATATTGGGCTGGATTTGTGTTGACCCAAGGTACATGCTAAAATGAGCTATCTTGAATAAATTTTTTTTGACATCAGAATGGCCTATAATACTGGATTGGATTTGTACTGACCCAAGATACATGCTAAAATGAGCTATCTTGAATAAATTTTTGACATCAGAATACTTTCTTTTCTGTTGGCTGTTTTACACAATTGAAGAGCTGAATATGCAGCAGAATGACCTTTGTTCGGTGAAACATGGCTGACAGCCTAGAAAATAATAGGTGAATCAAATACTTAACACCTTTTTTTCATAACTTCTTGTTATAAAAGTACTTTAATGACATTTAGAACAACTTAAAAATAGAATTTTTTTTGCTAAATGAATAATAATGTGATATGATGGCACAAATAGATTTTTCAGTTTTTTACATTATTTCATTAAGATCAATACTTTGAAGTAAAAGTATTAATCAAAACATCTTTTACATGAGATGAGTCAAATTCTTAGTCCCTATTTCCAAATTAGTTTCTAAAAAGATTAACTTCTAATGAGTGCCATACTTCGTTTCAAAATACCAATTGGAACATATCCATGCTGGTAAGAATGCTAGTTTTAATTTAGTTGAGGGAAGTAATGCCTCAGTTTTAATTTTCTTTTAGTTTGCTCCCCCCATTCCTAAAAAGATTAAACTGTAAAAATGTGTTTCTTGTTTCATAAATTAAATCATTAATGTTTTTCCTCTATCCTTTGCTCTTACTATTTTTCTTCTATATTTCTTAAAACTTTTATCGTATTTGCTGCAAATGTTTTTTCAGTTTGTTCCTTTCCTTTGAACTTCATTTGCTTTTTCTATCATATATAGAGGTCTATAAAATTTTTGGTCAAATTTTGTCATATTTTCCCCCTCCAATATTATAGGCTTAGAAAGCCTTCCCTTTATAAGGGTGTGATAAATAATCAATTCTATTTTAATTTACTTTTGTTTTATACTTCTTTTCTAAAAAAATTAATTTACTTATTTTATTGTTGTTAAGAATATAAACAGAAAAACATATGCCAATTCAGCATTTTTATATGTACAGTTCAGTGAGATAGATTATATTCTTTGAGTTGTCAATCATTCTCGCCCTCCTTTTCTGAGTTGTTCTTCCCCCATTACCACAACACTACCCCCTACGTTTTTACTCTTTTTCTGTATGTTTTAAAAACGTAGTAATTTTCTTCTTAATTTCTCTTGCCTCTTATCAAAGGACAGATAAAAGGAATGATTGGGTGGTATTGGAAATTGGGGAGGTATATATATATATCACCAGTGTACATGGTATACTGATTGAAGAGAGCTACTTAATGTCTGTGGAAAAAGAAGGATATGACATTAGACAGCTTTCTATTCACGTGGACTGTTTCACTCATTTGAAGGATTGTTTTCCTGGCCTCTGTTCTTTTGCCATAGGTTGACTATGATACTAGATGTAGTGCTAAGGAAACTTGCTGCAGACCTCTTTCTATTGTCCTCTTCTTGAATGATGCCTTTATTTTGTGCCACATGGTTTCCCTTTGATCATGATGTTAGTTGATACACTAGTCTATGCAGTTAGAGTCTTAAGGTACATTAAATATTTTTTTTAAGTCACCTTTGGCATTCTTCACATTCTCATGGGCAGAAAATCAACCATTTCATTATGCATTCACATTCTCAGATATCTTTACATTTAAAACAGGTTTGTTAGGAAATACTGGATTTAAATTTGATAATTTAGTGATTTCATCCATCTTCTAAGTTGGCCAGAGTTGTTACAGGCTTTTTTGTTAAAGAAAAAATATGAAATAGCAAGGTGCCTAAAATATATTTGTTGTATATGATCAAAGGGGGAGCTCTGGTAGCATAGTGGCTAAGACACTTGCCTGCTAACCAGACGGCTGGCGGTTCAAACCCACCAGCCACTCCTCGGAAGGAAGGTTGGGCAATCCTACTTCCGTAGTGATACTGCCTCGGAAACGCAAGGAGGGGTCGCTATGAGTCGGGTTTGACTCGACGGCAAACAACAACAATGATCAAAGGGGAGCTTTTGTGGTGCAGTGGTTAAGTGCTCAGCTGCTAACCAAAAAGTTGGCAGTTTGAACCCACCAGCAACTGTGTGGGAGAAAGAGGTGACAGTTTGCTTCCGCAAAGAGTACAGCCTTGGAAGCCCTATGAGGCATTATTCTGCTTTGTTCTGTGGGTCACCTTGAGTTGGAATCAAGTCAGTGGTAATGGGTTGGTTTATACATGACTGATATTTTTAATTCTGTGGGTCTTAGCCAGTTAATTAGTTGGTCGTAAAATCAGTTTGGTGAGTTGTGACTAGCATTTTTTAAAAATGCCTTAGAAAATAGATAGTAAAGGTAAGAAAATTTTGTTGTAGTATAGTGTATGTATTTATTTATTTTTTTTAAATTGTGATTTGGGTGAAAATTTACAGAGCAAATACACTTTCCAAACAGCAGATCACATACACTTTGTCTCATGACATTGACCACAATTTAGCACAATGCAACATCTCC